GGAGCGACCGGCGGGGACGCACCCGCCCGCCCGCCCACCCGCACCGTGCGGCACCGCCGCCGCCCCGGGGCCCCTCCGCGCCCCGAAACCATCTCCGTGGGACGGGGAGGGGGGGGCGGGGGGGGCTCTCGCGGTTGTGTCACCGCACCTCTTGTGATCTGCGGGACCCCCGCGAGCCGTTCCAACCCACGCATCGCGGTGGGGACGGGGCCGTCTCCATTTCGGGGTCCCCTGGGGGACACGGCACAGCAGGAGCTGCGAGCTCGCCCTCGCCGAGGGACACCGGCGGGGGCAACGAGCGGTGCGGCCGCCCCCGGCCCCGCGCCTCCCGGCTCAGCCCAATCCCGCGTGGGAACGCCGAGAGGGAGGTGCTGCCCACGGCGGGGAGCCGGGAGGGGGGGGGGGGGGGGGAACAAGCAAGGCGGGAGGGGTGGGGGTCACTTTCAACCGCAAAGCCCCAGCAGCCCCCCGGCCCCGCTACCCCGACCCCTCCGCTCTCCGCACAACTCCGCGCCGAGTCCCGCCGCCGCCCCCCGCGCCCCCGCTGCCCGTCGGGGCGGACCCACCTTCGGCGGCGGCGGCGGGGCAAAGCGCGGCGAGCAGCAGCAGCAGCAGCAGCGCGGGGCAAAGCGGGCGGCCGCGGGCGGCGATCATGGTGCTCAGCGCGGGCCGCGGCCCATGGCCCCGCGCCGGCCGCTCCGGGAAAGTTTGCGGTGCGGTTCCGCCGCCTCCCGCCGCGCTCCCGGGCTCCACCTCGCGGGGACGCGCAGCGTTCCTGGGAGCGGGGAAGAGGGCGCGCCGCGCGCTCCCGCCCACCCCGCGCGCTCCCGAGCACCGGAGGCACCGGGCGGCGTCGGGTCACCGTCCGTCCCGCTGTGCCGGGATCAACGGCGCAGCTCCCGGCTGCTCGCGGCCGCCCGGCAGCACCGAGGCCGGACATCGCGGGTTCCGAACATCCCGGGCAGCATCGGAACCACGGGAACCACCGGGCGGCTTTGGGCGCTTCATCCCGGGAGCAGCGGGGCCCCTCCGACACAGGCAGCACCAAGCCGGGCGTACCGGGCACGGGGATCCCGCCGTACCGGGACTCCCGGCTGCTCTCGGTCACCCCATCCCGGCAGCACCGGGTTTTCCTGTCTCGGTCACCAGGGGTCCTGATGGGGGATGTGCAGTGGAGCCACCCTCGTGCGCTCCATCTTGGGGTTCCCCCAACGTGGGAGCTCCACAACGGGCACTGCGAAGCACCGGGCACGGCCCCGCTGCTGGCACGGCTCCACCGGAGCACCGCAGCTCTCGGGCTGCCCCGCTGCAGGGCGCGACCCCCGGCCCCACGCTCGGTGCGGCGGTACAGGCCGAGGCCGCGGGGCAGGGCCGGTCTCGCAGCTGCCCCCATCTCCCAGCCAGGCCCGCTGTTCTGAGGCAGCCCTGGACCTCGCGGCCTCCGCCCCCCGCCGCCCCGCTCCTCTCCGCACTGCGCTGAGACCCCGGGGGGCCCTCCGGTCCCCCCACCGGGCCTGAGCCCCTCGAGGCCTCCGACGCCCCCCGGCACCACGGGGGGATATATCCCGTGAGCCTCTGCGGAGAGCGCCGAAGGAGGGGGGGCGAAATATCCCATGATCCTCCCGCTCTAGAGGACCGCAACCCTCCCGTGATGCCCGCGGCCAGCGGGGGCGCTATATCCCGTGGTGCTCCGCGCCGCCCCCACTTCCGGGGCGGGCCGGAAGCCGCGCCGGGCGGCGATGGCGAGCGGCGGGGCGGCGCGGGCCGCGCTGCTGCTGTTGCTGGGAGCGGCGACGGCGCCGGGCCCGGCCCGCGGCTCTCAGGGCGACAGGGAGCCGCTGTACCGCGAGTGCCTGGGCCGCTGCGAGCGGCGGAACTGCTCGGGGGCGGCGCTGCGGCACTTCCGCGCCCGGCAGCCGCTCTACATGGGCCTCACAGGTACCGCCCCGCTGCCCGCCCATTGGCTGAAGGGCCTGGAGACTCCGCCGCTTCCGGGCCACGCCCACGTGGTGGCCACGCCCACGTGTCGCGCAGGCTCCTCCTCTGCACGTGGAGGCGGGGCAGAACTGGGAGCACTGGGATGTACTGGGAGCTGTGGGCTCGTATCGGTGTGGGCTGAGAGGTGATCGGGCTGTGCTAGTTCTGCACTGGGGAGCACTGGGCCGAGGTGAGACCGGACTGGGGGGGGTCACTGGTTCCTAACTGGGACCGTACTGGGAGTGCTGGGATGGACCGGGAGGCACTGGGCCACGCTGGGGTGAGGTTGGAAGGTTGCTGGCTCGTTCAGGGGGAACACTGAGCCACATTGGAGCATGCAGGGCTGTGCTGGGGGGCACAGAGCCACGATGGGGGGTACTGGGCTGCACTGAGGAGACTTAGGGCCATCCTGGAACCTTCTCCTTGGCCGTGGCAAACGGGTGTCCTGACACCCATTGTGCTGAGAGGGACTGGAGGGGGTGCAGGGAGGAGGGACACACTGAGCCCCACCCCGGGACCCCCTGCTCCCCATCCCCAGGCTGGACGTGCCACGATGACTGCAAGTATGAGTGCATGTGGCACACAGTGCGGCTCTACGTGCAGGGCGGCCGCCGCGTGCCGCAGTTCCATGGCAAGGTGAGCACAAAGAGGGGGGGGGAGGGAGGTTGGGGTTCCCTGCGTTCCCTCCATCCAACTGACGCCCCCCCCCCCCCCCCCCCTCGCAGTGGCCCTTCTCCCGGTTCCTCTTTGTTCAGGAGCCAGCCTCTGCCTTCGCCTCCCTCCTCAACGGCCTGGCCAGCTTCCTGATGCTGCTGCGCTACAAAGCTGCCGTGCCCCCCACCTCCCCCATGTACCCCACCTGCGTCGCCTTTGCCTGGGTAAGTCCTCCCCTCGGGGCACTGGGGACGTGCAGAAGCCACCACTGTGGTGACCTCATCTGTCCCCTGCCTGCAACAGCACTCTGTGCTCTCCACAGGTCTCCGTCAATGCCTGGTTCTGGTCCACCGTCTTCCACACGCGGGACACGGCGCTGACAGAGGTGAGGGTCCCCATCCCCACCTTGTGGGGGGCACTGGGTGAATCCCTGGGGTCTGAGCCCCCGGCTCCACTCCTGCCCTGCAGAAACTCGACTACTTCTGCGCCTCAGCCGTTGTCCTGCACTCCGTGTACCTGTGCTGGGTCAGGTGAGCGTGGTCCCAGCGCTGGGGACAACGCTGTTCCTGGGGCTGGGTTTGTGTCACTGCTGTCCTCCTGTCCACAGGACGATGGGGCTGCGGCGGCCGGCCTTAATCGGCGTCTTCAGGGCCTTCCTCCTCCTCTTCCTCGCCTGCCACATCTCCTACCTGACGCTCGTCCGCTTTGACTACGGCTACAACATGGCTGCCAACGTGGCCATCGGTGAGAGCTGGGGCAGCGGGGCTGGGGTGGGGAACGTGGGAGCAACAGGTCCAGGAGGAACGATGGCATCAGAGTAGGGGCTGAGGGAACACGATGGGAGCAGGGTGGAGGATGTGGGGACTCAATGGGTGCGGGCCATCGCGCTCCCATCCCCCTGCCCCCTTCTTTTCCCCCCTTAGGGCTCCTCAACCTGCTGTGGTGGCTCTGGTGGTGCCTGCGGAACCGGCCCCGCCTGCCCCACGTCTGGAAGTGTGCGGTGGTGGTGCTGCTGCTGCAGGCGGGGGCTCTGCTCGAGCTCCTCGACTTCCCTCCTCTCTTCTGGGTGCTGGACGCCCATGCCCTCTGGCACATCAGCACCGTGCCGCTCAACATCCTCTTCTACAGGTGAGGGCCGTGCTTGAAATCGGGGCACCTGAGGCCCTTTCCTTCAGTATGGGGTGCTCAGTGCTCCACTCTTGAAATTGAGGTGCTTGGGGGCCCCTCTTTTGCCCTTGGAGTGCTGCGTCCCCTGTCTTGAATTGGGGCTGCTCAGAGCCTCCTCTCTGCTCCTGGGTGCTGGGGATGCTCCAGAGTCTGACTGGGCTCTGGTGGTTTTTGGGCCCCCCTTGTTCCCCTACCTCCTGCCCCCGATGGACCAATCTGCGCCCCCCAGCCCTCCCCTCCCTCCCCACAGCTTCCTGGTGGATGACAGCCTCTACCTCCTGAAGGCCAACTCGGACCTCTCCAAAGTGGACTAGAGCAGCAGGGAGGGATGAAACACTGCATGCCCCCCCAGGGCCCTGCCCCGACAGTGTGCCAAACAAATTCTTCCTCCCTCCCCCATACCTCCTGGCCGTGGACTCCCCCTTCCCCCTGCCTTCTGAGATGTGCTTTCCTTTCTATCACTCTGTCCTGTGTGGGGGCCGGGAGCCCCTCTCTGGGAGGAGCTGGGGGCAGTGGACCCCTCTGGCTGCTGACGCTGAGCCCATTTCTCCTGCTGTGGATCCCGGCAGCCGCGAGGTGGCAATGGCTGTTGGGGCTACACTGCTATGGGGGGGGGGACGTGAGGGTCTGGGGGAGGCCGAGCACAGAGGGAGACCCCTGGGGGGGGGGTGTGATGGTGCCTGTGTATGCTGGTGCCTGGGGGACAGGGGGAGGGACGCTGCCTTGCCCAGCCCTGCTTGCTGCTGGGTGGCTTTTTGGCAGAGGGGGGACAGTGCAATGCGTGGGGTCAGAGCGGTGCCTTCAGGTGGGGGGGTGACCCCTGTGCAGCCCTTGGGGAGTCCCTGGGGCTGTGCCCCCCACCCAGCAGGGTGCAGCCCCTCAGCAGGGTGTGCCCTGTGCTGTGAATAAAGCTGGAATTCAATCTCTACTCTGTGCCCCCCATCCTGCTCTGCACCCCACCGCTGCTCTATGGGCGCTGCATACCCAGCCCCGCTGCGCTCCCGTCACCCCACACCACCCTGCCCACCCCACGCAGCGCCCACCCTGCAGCCCCCACACCCTTCTGTCCCCACTCCCCCCATCTTGGCACGCCCTTTAAAAGCCCCTGCACCCCCTCCCTCGAGATGCAGTGACCCCCATTTCCCTCGTCCCCATTTTCCCCCCCAGCCTGCACAGCCCCCAGGCCGCCGTGCCTCCCCAAGGCCGTGCCGTGCTCAGCTCAGGCTTTATTATGGGACGCAGTGGGGGTGGGATGGCAAGACTCAGGAGCGCGGCCTTTTTGAGGGTGGGAAGCAGGGAGGGAGGGGGCTCAGCCTTCCAGTGGTTTCTGTGCATGGACAAAAAACACTCCATCGACGTCATCCACGCCGGTGCGCAGCGCGGGGGGCATGGGATAGGAGCGGAAATCAAGGAGGGTGAACCCAGCATCGCTCAGAGCCCCGCGGACGTCGTCCTCATCCAGCGGCACCACGGGCAGCCGCGCGGCGCCCGCCAGGTAGAAGGACTCCCCCAGAGCCCCCAGCAGCACGGCGTGGCCCCCCGGGCGCAGCATTGAGCCCACATTCACCAGCGCTCGCCCGAAGGCTGCGCGGTCGGGGCTGACGGCCTCCAGGCAGAAGGTGGAGAGCAGAGCATCGGCCGGGGGGTGCAGTGGGGCGCCCAGTGGGTCTGCGTGGTGCACGTCGATGGGGAGGATGCGCCGCAGGCGGCCCCGCAACCGCTGCTCCTTGTCCTGCCAGGGCTCCCTGTGGGGCGGCGGGTGGCATTGGGATGGGGCAGAGGGAAGGGGGAGCCGTGTGGGATGTGTGGGGTTGAGGTCCTGCAGGGAGCAGCCTGGCATCCATAGGGGTTTGGGGTTGGGGTCCTGCAGCGCAGCAGCCAGTGTGGGATGTGGGGACGGGATCCCATAGCAATCAGCCTGACTTCTGCAAGGGATGTTTGGACAGGACCTGCAGGGATCAGCACGGTGTGGGGATGGGACCCTGGGGGGGATGCAGGGATGGGATCCCATAGCGATCAGCCCAGCATCAGCAGCATTACGGGGATGAGATCCTGCAGGGATCAGCACAGCATCCGCAGGGATGTGGAGATGGAATCCCAAAGGAGTCAGCCTGGCGTGAAGGGGGATGCGAGGCTGGGGATCAGCACGGCAGATGTGGGGACACGGCATTGGGATCCTATGGGGACCAGCACAGTGCTCAGAGGGACCTGGGGGGTGGGATCCCAAAGGAATCAGCTGCCGGGATCAGCGCTATGGGCTGTGGGACCACGACTGCAGCGGGTCTCAGCCCCCAACCCTCAAATCCAAGGGGCCGCGATCTGCAGGGACGTGGCACGAAGCTCCACGGGGATTTGGGGCCAGCATTCCACAGCAGCACCATGTGCCCCCCAACCCGCCCCCAACCCCTCCTGCCCTACAGCACCATGTGCCCCCCAACCCCCCCCCCAACCCCTCCTGCCCTACAGCACCATGTGCCCCCCAACCCCCTCCCCAACCCCTCCTGCCCTACAGCACCATGTGCCCCCCAACCCCCTCCAACCCCTCCTGCCCTACCCGCGCCCCTCGATCTTGCAGACGTGCTGGATGAAGGGACTCCAGTCGAAAGCTCCAGGCTCACCCCGCACCCAACGCCGCAGCTCCTCCCGGTTCACCTCCAGGAAATCGGTGGCCACGATCTCCTCAAAGTGATCGCAGGCGCTCAGCAGCTGATAGATGGTGGGGCCCGAGCCCACGTCGATGAGCGTGCGCCCGCAGATCTCACCTGGGGGTGGGGTTGGGGGGGGGGGGGATTCCCACTGTGAGGCATGGGATGGGAGAGCTGAGCGGGATGCTCCGTGCCCCCCCACCCCGTGCCTCAGTTTCCCCACCGCTGGCGAAGGTTTCGGCCAAACATCTCAGCTTCCAGGGCACCACGCATTCCTCGGAGGAGAAGTCGGCGCGGGGGGGCACGTAGTTGTTGTGCAGGTAGGCGTGGGGCTCAAAGCGTGCGTAGCCCTCCCGGATGGCATCCAGGCTGCTCATGGTTGGGGTCTGAGCTGTGCCAACGCTGCGTCCCATTTATAGCCCTGATAACCAGGAAGGGGGGGGTTGTAAGGGGGGGGGGGAGGGAGGCACGGTGAGTTATGGCAGCGGCCGCTCGGCGCTGATTGCAGCCGTCCATCGTGGATAACCAGGTTATTGTCAGCGCCTGCGGGCCCTGCTGGGCCCACACACACTCACACACAGCTCCCCACGTGGGGGCTGCGGCCCATGGGGTTGTGTCAGCGCTGGGGAGCGTGGCCACCCCAAAGGGGCTGCACCGACCCTTGTGTGCGGCGTAAGGTTGGCATGGGGCTGGGAGAGATGGGGACAAGAGTGGGAATGAGGACTGGGAGAACGAAGGCAGTGAGATAAGGACAGGGACGGGGTCTGTCCAGGCGCTGCCTTGTGAAGCTAACGCTGCTGAGCTGAGTGTGATGGACCTCAGCCCCTGGCAGGATCCGGCCCAACAACCCCTCCAGCTCCCAGTTGCGCTCATTGCACCCAGCAGCCTGGGATGTGGGGCGGTGCTGCTTGTGGGGCTGGGAGAAGGAAGGGGTGAAGGTGGCGAAGCCCTACAGGCAGCGAGTGGGGATGGATGGGGATGGGAAGGGAATGGGCGCAGGGCCTGGCGGTGGCCCAGGGACAGCAGGATCCATCCGGGAGGGAACAGCTAATCTGGGTGCTGACACCAGGGCCATCCAGAACCCTGGCATGGGCTGGTAAGGGCGGGGGGGGGGGGCACAGTTATATAAGAGATCTGCCCCCACTCCCCTCATCCGCTCACCCGCATCCCACAGCAATGGGCTGTGCCTCAGTTTCCCCAATTCCCAAAGGGTTGCTGTCCCCATCCTCGGGCCAGAAGGGGACAAACGGAGGGGCACAGCCCCATGGACAGTCCAATGCTCTAGGGCTGATCCAGGCCCTTGAGGGGGGGGGTCTGGTACCCTGCACTCGAACCACTGCCGGAGCAACAGAGCCAAGCTGCGCCTTTTATTGCAATACAAAGAAATTCACATCTGTACAAAACAACACAACGCTGCTGTGTCTCCCAGCCCCTGCCCCGGGGGGGGCTCAGCACACCTCATCCTCGCTCCCTTCTCTCTGCCAGGGACATCGCACCGCGGCTGCGCCCCGTCCCCACCGGCCTCTGCCGCCCACCGCAGGGTGAGCGCCCACCCCCACGTCCCCCCACCTTCCTCCATCATCTTCGGGGGCTGCGGTGAGCGGTGGAGCTCAAGACCCCCCCCTCCGCCGCCCCCCGATCTCATCCCGAGCCCCCCCACCCCACTGCCTTCAGCCCCTCTGGGCTTCGTGGGAGAGCGAACGGGAGAGGGTCCGTCGGAGCCCCGGCTTGGATCCGCGCAGGTCTGGGGGGGCGAAGAGGGGCAGCGGGAGGGTGCGGGCGTAAGGCAGGAGGTGCTGGGTCAGGGGCTGCCCCAGGACGCCGACCCGCAGCACGCCCCACGGTGAGCGCTGCGTCAGCACCCGCGTCTCTCCGCGCTGCTCCAGCGACTCGCGGCGCTGCCGGTCCACCTCCCTCCGGCACCACCTGCGCACGGGGAGCTCGTGGGGCGGCTGCAGAGATCCCCGTCCCACCCAGCCCCATGGGAACTCTTGGAGACCCCCGTGGTTTCCCCAAACCCTCGGAGACCCCCGTGGCTTCCCAAACCCCCGAGCGCCGTTGGGGACCCTTCTGTCCCATCCCACCTTATGGGAACCCGCTGACATCCCCGTGCTCCCCATCGATACTTCAGAACCCCCACCGTTCTCTATTCACCATCACGAAGACCCTTGGAAGCTCCCCCCCAACCCAGGACCTCCACAACCATATGGGAAGCTCAGAGACCCCCACCCGCAACCCCGTCACTGCGCAGACGCCACCTGACTCCACGAGACCCCCAGTTCCCCACGGGGACCCCCACAGCTCCACAGGGACCCCAACACATCACACCTCCACCCGGCTTCCTCCATCCCCATGCAGACCCCCATAGCAACCCCAAAGATCCTCCCACGGGGAACCCGCGGCTCCCCCCAGGAGCTCCCCCACGATCAGATCTCCCTCAGCCCCAACGCCCTACGGGGACCCCGAGCTCCCAGACCCCCAGCGGTGCCGCTCACCCCTCCTCAGGCCGGGTGCTGAGCTCCAGGTCCAACCACTCAGCACTGAAGGACTCTCGGCGCCCCACGTCCTCCTCCTGCACGCGGCAGCCCAGGTGGGCACTGCAGAGCAGCCCCCCGCTGCGTCCCACCGTGCTCGGCCCCCACATCCTCACGGCGCTCCCAGCGGTGGCTTCTGCTGCCCCGCGGCCGCCCTCCCCGCTTTTATGGCCCCACGGAGGCTATTTTGGGACGTGTCACTGGCACCGAGGGGACAGCAGGGTGCCAAGGGGCGAGCAGCAGGAGGTGGCATTGAGGGACATGTGCGTCACCTCGTGTGCGCCCGCCACGCTCAGCCCCGTGTGCCCCATGACGTGTCCCCAATGGGATGTGCCCCCCCCCCCCCGGGAACTCGATGGACCCAAGAGGTGACAAAGGCTCTGTGGCTGACTGTCACCAGCACGGTGTCTGCGCCACCCGGCGCAGCTCCACGCCAAACCCAGCGCTACCCCTGGAGGACCACCGGGGTCCCATCCTGGTGTGTTCCCCCCCCCCCCCCCCCCCCCAGGCTGTGCTGTGCCATGCGAGCTGGCAGTGAGGTGCTGGCTGAGGGCCCCCCCCCGCTGGGCTATTTGTAGGGCCAACAGATGGGGGCTGTGGACAGATAGGCACTTGCAGGGTGCCAGCGGGCACGGCTCAGATGCCGGGCCCTGGGGACGGGCTGGGGGGGCGCTGCTCTGCAGCCCCTTCCGTGGAACCGAGGTGCCACTGGGACTCTTGGGCACAACTGGAGGCCTTTGGGACACGCAGCCAGACCCCGTGCGGGGGATGGAAGGATGCTGCGTGGCCCAGCAGGGCAGGGGATGGTGACCCCCGTGGCCAGTGGGCCTGCAGGAGCCCCGGGCGCATTCCTTTGCCTGCCCCCCCCCAGGCTCCTCCCGCTTTTATTCGATCGAGTTACAAAGGGCACGAGGAAAGCAGCGGGCTGCAAATAGTGCAAGGCTCTTTATTTTGACAGATGCCAGCCGGAGGTGCCCCCAAGTACCAACAGAAGCACCAGGACAGGCACTGATAGAGGGGCAGAGACCCCAGGTCCTCCCCTGGGGGGTTCCACAGGCGCTCACCCCCCCCCAGGGCTGCCGTTGTGGGCACCCACGCAGGGGCAGCTCCACGCTGCTTCCCGTGACAGAGCAGAACGTGGCAGCAGTGCAGGCAGCACCAAGCTGCGCTCGCCCCCGCAGCCCCTGGGGAAGGAGGAAGGCTCTGATCCCACAGCCTGCAGGGCTGCACGCTGAGCTCAGGAGCATCCCACAGGATGCAGGGTCCCCACGGCAGCCCCCCACGCAGGGGAAGGTGCCCACGAGCCACGCAGGAGCTGTGCTTTGTCCCTGTGTGCGAGTGGCAGCTGACAGGGGACAGAACTGCGTGCTCACCCTGCCTGGCTTCCTCCTCCGAATCCCTCACCCTCGGCACAGCAGCCTGGGGGTGCCAACGAGCCCCCAGACTCATTGTGGGGGGGAGACCAAGCACAGGGCAGATCCCAGCTGCAGGGCAGAGCAGGACAGGGGTTTGGCACACACCACACGGCAGCTCCAGGGCTCCGGTTGGGTGGGGAAGGAGAGGAGCAGCCCCTCCTGCCTGCCCACATCCAGTCCAGCAGGGCAGAGCACGGCGCTCAGGGCTTGCTGCAGAGCTCCCCGACCCGCTGCCGCAGGTGGAAGGCAAACTCAAACATGGTGGCTGCCAGGCTCTGGTGGATGAGGTACCGGGGCAGGCGACCCTGCGAGGAGAGCAGAGGAAACAGAACACGAGTGAGGGCGGCAGCGCAGCAACCCAGAGGAAGTGGAAAGGCCCTGCAGGACCCCCAGGTGTGGGGCTGGGGCTGCACACCGCAGCGGGGAGCTGCTGCTCTCAGGGAGTTCTGGGATCTGGGGGAGGAACTGAAGCACGTTTTGATTTCCCTAAAAAGCCCTGCACGACTCAACCCGCGCCGCCTCGGCCCGCGCTCCATTATCTGCTAAGAAAATCAGCCCAGGCTCTGCGGGGGAAGGCAGCAGCAGCGGGCTGGGAAGGGGGCAGATGCTGAGGTGCAGAGAAGGAGGAAGGGGCCACGTCCCCCTGCCCAGGGCACAGGAAAAGCCCCGTGGATGTGGGGAAGGGCTCCCTCAGCCCCCACTGCGGGGCTTTTCCCCAAAGCAGGCTTTCCCCTCCGCCCTTTGGGGCTGGGACAGCACCCAGCTGAGGAGCGGGGGCCATTTTGGGCAGCTCTCCAAGCTGAGCAGGGGGCAAAGTGCCAGCACAGACACAAACACACACACACACACACACACACGTGTGCAACCCTTGCCCTTCGCTGGAGGAAGGGATGAGCCACGAGCTATAAATACGCCGTCAGGGCCAAAGGAAATACCAAGGCAGCACCGAGCAGGGCTGGGAGCAGCAGCAGAGCCCTTCAGGAAGATGGTGGAAGCATTATTAATAGCTCGGCTGCTCTGGCATTTCTTCCAGCAGCAGCAGGAGAGCACTCGGCGTCCTGGGAAGCACAGAGCGGGGACCTCCCCTTTCCCAGCTCAGTTGTGCAAGATGGAGCCGATTTCCCTCCAGCCCAGCCTCACTACAGAGGGAAGGAGGAGAGATTTGCACGAAGGAGAAGCAGCTCCAGCACCGACCCCGTGCCGAGCAGAGCCAGGGGCAGCGGGCCGGGCGCAGCCGTGCCACGTCCCAGCCAAGGAGCCGCCAAGAGGATCCGCTTGCACGCAGCCTTTCCAGAGCCCAATGCTGAACGAGCCGAGCTGCTCCGTGGGAGGGGAGGGCTGTGGGAGGGGAGGGGGCCGCGCCGCGCCGATGAATGGAGCCTTTGTGCTCGCTGCTGCAGCGCCGTTTCCACACCAACCTCGGCGCAGGAAGAAAACAGGGCAGCGCCCCCCTTCTCCCCCCCGGCTCCCTGCCTGCTGCCTTTGT